AAATATCACCAATTATAAACTATATCGAATTTCACATTCAATATTTAAATATCACCTTTACTGTATTTGTCTTTAATCTTAATTTATCTTTAGCCATTTTACATATAGTTACTTTCCTATAACAAAACTTTAAGGTAACAATTAATCAAGAAACACGTAGGTAATAATGCCATAAGTTACTTCCTTATCATGCGTGGCATGTTGAATTATGTATATGTTACAAGGTGATTAAGGTTCAATAATTAAAGATCTTGGGTTTAATTCTCTCATTTTCTCTCATCACTTCTTAAATCACATTCTCTGTCTACTAGACAAAAAATTCTTAAATCTCATCCATTGTTTGCCTTAAAAAAGGAAAAAAGAAAAAAAAAGAGTGATTAGCATTTTTCACTAAATTTTAATGAGCCAACTTTGATTTTCACATGGTTGACACCAGTAAAAAAAAAGAAGCTTTGGCATGTAAAATTAATTTGTTAGATAAATGAAGTATTAGGGTCTGTTTGGATTAGTTGTTTTTAGAGGTATTTTTGAAAAATTTTACTGTAGCAGAATTTTTATAATATATTTTAAAAAATATTTTAGAATATTTAAGAGTAGAAGAGTTTTTAGAATATATTTTGGGATATATTTTAAACATTAAAAAAAAATAGACTACTTTTTAAAAATTTTAATAATATTTGAAAAACTCTTGAATCCAAACAGAGCCTTAGACTTTAGGCATACGAACACACAACGTAGTATGAACGCGCACTGGAAGAAAATGTTGTTTGCATTGTGCCTACAAGAATGGCTATGACAATGCTACGGACATGCCAAATTGAAAATTGCTAAAGTGAGATAGTAATTGAGTTCCCCATTTGATTAAAAGTTTAATTACTGAAGGTAATCAGTCTTTTTTTTTCCCCCTATTTTTGGTTAACTGTATTAAGGTTATAAAGGAGATGATATTGGCAATCCATTCTCCCTTTAATATCACTTACTTATATTACATCTAGTTAGTAAAAAAAAAAAGGGATAATTAACAGTCATCTTTATACAGATGCATTGTGAGAACTCGTAATTTTTTTTCATTTCCTAGGTTTTATTATATTCAATGGCTTGTTTTCTGCATTTTCGTGATTAAGAAAATTTCTAGATACTTTTAAGGAGCAGATATAGTTTTTAAATGATTTTTCTAGTATCGAATAGTTTTTAAGAAATTAAGAGCGTATACCGGACGTGGGACCCACTAGGGCGAAAAGTTCGAAAAAATTCGGCCAGTTAGCTTAAGTTTTGGATACTGGATTTAATTAATCGGGTGTTAAGAGATAATTAGATGTTGCTATTTGGATTGGTGTGAGAGAAAACAAAGAGATAGAGATGCATTTATGGAAGTGACAAGTGTCACTTGGATATTGGGTTGACCTTTTGACTACTATTCCATGTTTTACCATTTGACTAAATAAACTAAAAAACTTACCAAAATTTGCTTCATTTCCAAGCTCTTGTGGCCGGCCAACTTCAAGGAAGAAAGAAAGAAAACCTCTTCAACTTCTTGATTCCCTCTTGCTCAAATCCAATAACTCAATCATCTAATTTTGTTTTTGTTCCGTAGAAACCCTCAAGGGAGTGTTTGTGAAGTGTTTAGTGGAGTTGTTTGGAAAGCTAAGGGGATTAGTTGCTCCCTCTCTTGTATTGCTAAGGTAAGTAGTGAAGGACCCCTCTCCTCCCTCTAATGATATTTAATTCATGATTGGTGGTAGTATAAGATGCAATTTTATGGATTATATTTTGATTTTTGGTTGAATTGGTGAAGTTTTATAATTATTGGGAATTTTTCTGTTTTCATATGAATATGATTATGTGGTCATGTATGATGATTGGAAATGGTATTTAAGGAAGCTAGAAGGTGGAAAAAGTGGTTAATTGCAAGCAATTTCTGTTTTGGAAAGAAAATTGGAAAGTTAGGGTTTCATTGTTTTTCATTCTGTCCGGCACTGTATCACATAGTTAGAGGCCGAATTGGCTTTGGGTTAAAACATGAAAGTTGTAGGGAATAATATTTTAGAGATTCCTGTAAAATTTCAGGTCAATCGAAGTAGCGTAACTTGAGAAAAGACGGAATTACCCTTGCTACCCTGGTTTTACCCGAATTTGATAGTTGCGTCTGTAATTGGTTAATTTGGTTGGGAATGCTTCAGAATTGGTTGTTGAGGTCTTCTGATGACATGTATCCTTGTATTTTAGCTTTTGGATGGCCTTGGAATCACTGAATTTGGCTTTAGGTAGCCTGACTTATGATGTTTGAACTAGAATGTGGTTTGTGAACCTGTTTTTGCGGTTCTGGTGTAGTATCTTGCATTTTTGACCTGGTTACACTCGAAACTGGACAGAGTTGTCTTCTTCAACATTGTAGCCCTATCTCTTAGCTTCAAAACGGTGTATCTTGCACCTTCATCCGATAATCGTAGTGCCTTTGGTGCCAAATCGTAAAATGATATCAAAAACTATTTTTTTTGGGTTAGCGCCTAACCCCATTTCCGAATTTTTCTGGTTTCCTCTAATGCTTATGTATGCTTATGAAACCCTATTTTGGGAGTATTTGGCATTGGTTTATGACTCGTTATCGAGTCTCATTGTACTTGTTTGCATGTTTTAGGGCGTGACGGTGGTTCACGACGCTCCTTTGACGGAGGTGCATGAAATATCATTTTCAAGTTTGGTGAGTGTACTACTCACTTGTGTGTTACTCTATGGCTTTGATATTTGAACTGGATGTGTTGAATGTTTATTGCACCTTCGATATTGATTTAAGTGAGGGTGTACTTGATCACTCTCACTTTTATGCCTTATATCATTGTTTATCATGTTATTGGAATGTTACATGGAATGTTACATGAAATGAAAGTACTTGACTTGGTGTCGTTTGGACAAGTATCCAAAGACCATGATTGTTACCATTGAGCTCAACCCCATTGGTAGTTGATTGAATCGAGCCGGCGAGAGCTTGGTCGTGCCAATTAATGAACCTTGGGGACTGTTATATGGAATCTTGTAGTATGAGAGACTCTCGATTCCGGTATACTCGAGTACTACCACATTGCAAGTGTTTGGAATTCGGGTCCGGTAGGGATATGTTGGGTGGAAGGAATGGAAGTAAAGTGGAATCTACGGTTGGTTACTTTGAAACATTGACGGAGAGTCAATGAGGTTCGATCAAGAATGCAAACGAGGAAAAGGGCTCTTGAGAGCCGCCCGTATCCTTTTATCACCACTTTTGATGTGTGCCTTTGCTTACTTTTGATGAATTGGAATGAAAAGTTTTATGCTTATGTGAACTTTGTTGCTTGAGTGGTATTATCTCACTGGGCATAAACTCACCCTATTCCTTTTGTTTTCCTTACAGGAAAATAAATACTTTTGGATTGCAATTGATAGTTGGTTGCCGAATTGAGTTAGATGGACATATCTTTTGTATAACTCCTAGATTGAAACCCTAAATGTACTTTTAGGTCCGTTTCTCTTTTGATTTGGCAAACCGTACATGTATCCACTTTTGAATAACTTTGGTATGCCACTTTGGATTGTATATACTTAATTTCAACATATAAATGTTTGATTGAGACTTGGTTGGGTTTGACGTGTCGGTTACTACTCAGGACCGGCTCCGATTTCATTTTTTTTTATTTTGGGATTTTGACTTGTTTACTCGCGTTTGTAAGTTCCCGAACGTATTAGATCGCTCTAAACTGAACCGTTAGTCCTGGCGAGAGTTGGGCAAGCAGTCTGCTAAACCCTTTGGTTCGCCTTAGGGGAAGGTGAGGCTGTCACATGCATGATCTAGTTGTGTAATTAATAAGTTGCAGTTTTTTTTTTTTTCGGTTCCCTAAAGCTAGATATATCTACTCTTAGCTAAGGCAAGGGTTTCCGTTATTAACCAAAAAGAAATAGAGAGGAAGGTAAAACTACAAATACTAGTGTATCATTATTAAAATTAAAAAGCAATCATTCTAGAAACCTTCCTTTCAGGTTTCTAACTATATAATTTTAAAATTTACACTTACCTCTCATACTTCTTCTGCTATTTTAATAACAACATAGATCCAACTCTCTACAGTTATCCTTAAAAATCATAAAATACGTCATTATTAGGGGAGAAAATGAACACTCATCTCTTTCATCCTTGTTGTAACTATTACAAATGGCAAATCTCACCACTCTAACCGACTCATCAAGCCCCTCGGGATTAGATCACCTGGTCTTGGGGTAGCCATTCAGATCCCAAGGTTCAGGGTTCGAACCTCTCTTAACGTCTGGGTACTCTTGGGAGATAGGGTACTTCAAGTACAAAGTGATTAGTCCGAAAAAGTTGGGATACACCTTATATAGACAAAAAAAAAAAAAAACCGACTCATCAAGCCACTAAAACCGAATTCTCATATTCTCAAATTTGTTGACAGCCCAATATCATCCATCATTACCCTAAAACTTTTTCTGCACAAATTTGGCATGATAGCATAACCACCAATTCCTTTTCGATTTTTAGGCATCACTTTTGTTTTCATTACGATCCTTTTTTTATCTGCACTCACAACTTGTAACTGGGTAATTTCAATTCGATAATTCTCCCATTTCTTTTTTAAAAAGAGAGGGCCCGATAATATGATACCAGGATTGGAATGGATTGCATGATTTTTTTATTTTTTTTTAATGATACGAGATTATGCACAAGTGATGAATGTTACAGTCATTTTACTGCATAGATGAATACAGTACTGAGTTTGTTTGGACAACAAGAATTTGGAATAAAAATTTCAAATTTTGTTTTGCTTGCATCATACACACAATTTTCAATTACCTTTTTATTTCACATACATTATATCACAAAAAGTGCTACAGTACCTAGATCAAATAAATCATCCAAATAAATTTTATCCAAACAAACTCAGTGTAATTACCGAAACGCGAAGGGAAGAGGCTTTTGAAATTATCCCAAATTGAAAAATAAGAGGGGCAAAGCCAAGGCCGACTGCACTGCACCGTAACATTTCTAGGTACTAGAATCCGCCACGCTTCCACCCAGCACAACCTTCAACAACCAATCATCACAGCGACCAACCCGCCCCCCACGGCCTCTTTCCACCAATTCATTAGTATTTCCATATACCGGACTACTAATTTACTACTACTTTTCTTGGTGCGATTCCTAAAAGAAACCTTTGCTAATTCACTGCTAGCGGTGCTGGATAATTCAGTCCATAAGTGAAGACATCCAAATTCACTGGAGCATTTTCCTGTCCTGCTGATCATTCTCCAGCTTTGACACTGTTGCCGAACCAAACAATAAAAAGTCATAAACCCAGAAGACATAGCATAAGATAGAGAGAGAGAGAGACTGTTTTGGGTAATAGTCCCAACATCCAGGTGATTGTACAAGATTGTGGTCATGAACTTTTATATCTTTTCTATTTATTTTTTTTGCAAATCAGTAGTAAGTTGACTTTCATTCAACTTTATTTATCGATGATGATTGATGGTTAGTGGAACCAACTTCGTTAATCTCAATTATAATTCTTTTACTTTTTCGAAATTTGTCCTCTGTAGTAAGTAAAAAATTATCTGTACCTTGAAGAATTTTGCTTGCTGTAGAAAAAGCTGAAATCTTGACGTACTTCGGTCAAGAACCTTGGATATAGTTGAAATGAGTAGGATTCTGGACGAACCCCATAATTGAGGATGGTGCATCTTCCGCGTGATTCGAGTATCGCTCTACCTTTGTCTGACTTTACTCGATTGAATGGAATATATATGAGAGTTGTCATTCTGAAATTGCATAATTGCCCATTCTCTGGATATAGATTGTTGCAAAGTCAATCTAATGTGTAGTTTGTATTCATTTGTGTTGTTAGAAATATATAATAATATTGCCAGAGTTGTCGTTGACATTGTTCGCAGAGTTGGCATGGTAACAAGGACCCTATTGGGGATACTATGGAGACTCGACAGCATCTGATATTTGTCAAAAACTTCCAGGGGTACCGTTGAGTTACAAATGTATTTTCTATCTGAGGGGACTGCCATTAACGACATGGGCCACTGGTTTAGCAGATTGGAACTTGAATCGGAACTTCTAGAGGGTTTTAGTTCCAGCTATGAGGTTGTTGGTAGTCCAGCATATAAAAGGCCATTGAGTTCTTTGGACCATGAAATTGCTCAGCTCACTAAGCTTAGGTCAGGGCCCCATGAGAATTTAAGCCGAGTACTGCCTGGGAAACGGGAATCTTCTGTTTCAACTCTGAAGATGTTAGCTGGTCGAGAGGCAAATTTTTCAGGTAGAGGGAGATTTTCAACAGCTGATCGCTGTCATGTTCTCAGTAAATACTTGCCAGTCAATGGTCCTTGGGTTGTGGACCAGATGAACACCAGGGCTTATGTGTCGCAATTTTCAGCTGATGGCTCCCTTTTTGTTGCTGCATTTCAGGTAGTCTTTTCCTGTACAATACTGGTTCAACTTACAGTGGAGAATATCCGATTGTTAACCTTTGGTTATATTGGAAGGAAGAGCTATAGCAATATCTATATTCTTATCGGGAGCACATGTAAAATAGTAAAGAAAAAGAAACAAGAGAGATAGAACCTTTTGATGTTTAAGAAACCTTTTGATTCTTATGGCATTTAAGAAACTTTGTCCTGGCTGAGTCGAGTACTTGTTAATTGCCTAGTTCAAGTGGACCTTCTTTTGATCTCCCAAGTTACAAAAAACTTTCTTCTGTATTGTTGTTTATGTTAACTTGCATATCTTAATAGAGCTTTCTAGTACTGTTATTTGTGCATAAATATTTTCCTAAGAAAGTATTTTTCTTTTACAAAACAGGGAAGTCACATTCGAATATACAATGTGGAAAGAGGGTGGAAAGTTCAAAAGAACATTCTTGCCAGAAGCTTGAGATGGACAGTTACTGATACATCTCTTTCACCAGATCAAAGGAATCTTGTAAGTTTTACGCTGCTAATAACTGCGACTGCATGTTCATATTTGTCTGCGCCATAATATTGTTACATTGTGATCCTACCATTTAGATAAACTTCTCGTTGCACATGACCATCACCTCAGACACATCCTGGTTGTATCGATGAAGTATATCTCTAAATCGAGACTGAAAAGCCCTTTTATTTTCTTGACTTCTGTGGTTCTGTTTAAATGTCCTTGGTTGGGTGCTAGAAATTGTCATATTGGCATGAAATATTTGTCTAATTTTCAAAGTTCTATTTACCTATTGGATATCAACTCTAATTGCAGGCTTATGCTACCATGTCACCTATAGTTCACATTGTTAATGTTGGCTCTACTACAACAGAATCTCTGGCAAATGTGACGGTATGAAGTTCGAATGCATTTTAGCTTGAAGCTGATGTAGCTTACATATGTGATGGCTTTCTGAGATTAGAAAAATTACTGAATTCAGTCATGCACCTAGGCACATATTTCTTGCACTTTTTTGCTTCTAAGTTTGAACAAGCTGTTGCTATGGCAAACTTTCTTGCCTTTATGATGTTTCTCCTGGTCGAAGGTCACCTTGTATACTCGATAATTGAGGAAATGAATTCTTGATTCTAATCATAAAATTGCTCCAGTGGCTGATTCTCATAAGTTCCATTTCTAGTCAAGAGCTCTAATTTTGTGCTTCTTGTCAAAATTCAGATTTTTATATGATGTCCTTCGGCTGTAGCATCCTGTGTTGTAGGATGCATTAGTGCATGTTTTTTCCTTGGTTTCCTGGGGAAGGGTGTGCCTCTTAATGGTTTGTTGTTATAAATATTCTTCGGGCCTGTATGAATGCGTAAAAGGTTTCTGGGAAGGCGATTTTTTTTGGGGGTGGGGGTGGGGGTTCCTGGTTTTCTCCAACACGTGTTCTAAGTGCAATTCTTTTATTCTTTGTTCATGTCTTCCTTCAAAGCAATTGCTTAATTGGGGTTCATATGATCCAGGAGATCCATGATGGTTTGGATTTTTCTGATGAAGATAATGGGGGATACTCTTTTGGAATATTTTCTGTGAAATTTTCAACAGATGGACGAGAAGTCGTAGCTGGAAGCAGTGATAATGCAATATATGTATATGATCTTGAAGCGAACAAACTAACTCTTCGAATATCGGCGCACACGGTAGTGATTTTGCTGCAATAAAACTTTGCATGTGTTGTCCTATGGGTTGCATTGCAGTATGTTAAATAATGTTTATCAATGTGCACCCTGCACTTTATTCTGTCTGTTTATACTTGCAAAGACATTTAGTTTGACCACACTTAATACTATCTATTCCATCTCGCTGCAGTCTGACGTTAATACAGTATGTTTTGTTGATGAAAGTGGCCATCTTATTTTCTCTGGAAGTGATGACAACCTCTGCAAGGTATCTTCCAGCTAAATTGTCTAATAAGATAATCCAAAATGTGAGTTTTCCAGTCTTAGTTGCTGTCATATAATTCTTTAATTTTATCTGTATGCGTAGAGCTTATTAAGCATAGGATTTCAACTTAAAACATGAAATATCAGATGAGCAATCGGTTAATCTCTTAGAGCGGAGTAATCCTCCTCTGTAGTTGACTTTGGACTCTGATTGCCACAGGGCCTTCTTTGTGTGTGGGAATGCACAAAGGTTTAGATGAATACTGATCCTTTTCGTAAGAATTTTCATACATGGTGTAGATATTATAACAAAGTTCTTCCTATATCTCAACAAAATAGGGCTTCCCAGTCTGCAAAATAATTCTGATGAAGCAATATTAAGAATCAGATCTCCGAATTGACTATATACTTAGAGGGACATCTTGCGAAGTCAAATTGAGAAATGAAATTTTCAATTGTTTGTTGTTTTAAGGAATTGTTACCACCCTCTTTTTTATATAGGTTTGGGACAGACGATGCTTCAGGGCGAAAGGAAAGCCAGCAGGTGTCCTGATTGGACACCTAGAAGGCATCACGTTTCTTGACAGTCGTGGAGATGGTCGGTATTTCATTTCAAATGGTAAAGACCAGACAATTAAACTTTGGGATATACGGAAAATGTCCCCTAATAGCCCTCGGTATGCTCACTTTCATGCTTTGCTAAGCTTACATCAGGGACTCGTATATGAACCTTGCAACTTCTTTTCTTCTTTGTTCATGTGCTGTGACGGAGTACGGACTAGGATTTTCCTAAGCAGCTTTATTATGTTCAAAGGGGATGGATATAGTGCTACTTTTCTAACTCGAATACACATAGGGGAATTCAAGATATCTTAACGTCTTATTGTCATTGTGCTTATTCTAATTGCATTGCTTCCAAGCTTAACTATCAAACACAACTGCTTATTTCATAACCATGAAATTTGAAGCCTCTATGATATTCAATTTTTCTTTATTATTTTGTTGTTGAACACCTATTACATGCTAGGCAGTTGAAATAAACTTTTTCTCCTTTGTTTCAGTTTCTAGAAAGCTGCATAGAAATTGATTCCAGTACAAGCTGTTAAAAGATTTAGAGTAGTTGTAGTTGCAGTTTCCGAAAGCAAGAGTTGATTTCCAAAGTGCGTTGATGGCTGGTCCTGGGTATTAAAAACTTTGCCACTTAAATAAGCTAAAACTAAGTTTTTAGCTCGGAAAAATAGTTTGAATGAGTCGGAGTCCTTATCTCTTGTTAGCATTATCCCTTTTTTGAATATGCGGAACTTTTGAACTTGCAAGATATTAGGTTGTTAACCACTATTTTCCTGCAGAAATTTTGCTATGAATATGTCGATCTCCATTTTGTTGATCTCAGGTTACTTTTGTCTTTTGGCATAACCTTTGGCTGCTTTAGAATATCAATTAAATGACATGCTTACGACGCTTGTATTGTGTATCATCTGTTGAATTTGCATGTTTTAGTTGCATGCTTTGATAGCATTAATCTGTAATTTTAATGCCTGAAACTGATTGAAGTGGGAAATATTATTTGGAAGTAGCATAAATATCGAAATTGATATCAATAATTCTAGCATCTTTTTATGTGTCATTCAGCTGTACCAAACTTTTTTTTTTTTCTTGATGTCTAAAACATGTCTCTGCCTGATTTTGTTCTGAGTTTTGCATGAGGTCAGAGATCAAAGTTTTGGTATTCCTTTCAGGGATCATGGCTTTAGGAATTCTCAGTGGGACTACAGATGGATGGACTACCCCCCACAGGCTAGAGAGCTGAAGCATCCAGGTGATCAATCAGTGGCTACATACAGAGGTCATTCAGTCCTACGTACTCTCATTCGCTGCTACTTCTCCCCAGATCATAGGTAAAGTTAACACAAGCAACTTACAGTCTTGCAAGCATTCTTGGTTTAATTTGGTTAGAATAGGTAAAAGTTAGTTCATCTGGGTATCAAATTAACATGCTATGCACAATCCTCTGTTTCAGCACCGGGCAGAAATATATTTACACTGGATCCTACGATTCCTGCGTATATGTATACGATTTGGTAAGTATAGGCTTTGATGGGCGATTATTTTTTGCTGGGCTTGACTGCTTCATGTTTTGGATGATGATCATTTGACTTCATTGACTCTGAAATTAGTTTTCTGGGTAGTGAAATTCTCTGCATCGATCTCATTTCATTTGTTTCTATGCCACTAATGGCATGGATACCAACTCTTGTTGAACTTTCAGCTGGTCAACTATACTTTACTAGTGTTAATAGACTGAAGAAAGGAAAACCAAAAGAAGTGTCCATAGTCAAAAGGTCCATAACATGACCGATGTAACATCCACTGAAGTCAATTTTGTGACGTATGATTTTTTTTTTTTTTTTTTGAATGGTGAGATGTTGTATAGATTCTTCCATCATGTATCTCGCTGTTACAGACCTTCAGCTCCTTGCAAATATTCTTATCTCTTATTGAGGGTGATGTGCTATTTAGGTTACCGGAGCTCAAGTTGCAAAACTGCAGTACCATAAATCAGCTATAAGGGATTGTAGCTGGCATCCTAATTACCCCATGCTTGTCAGCTCTTCTTGGGATGGGGACGTTGCGAAATGGGAATTCCCTGGGAATGGAGAGGGGCCGGTGTCTAACAGGCCGCAGCTGGGAAGAGGACATGTCCACTGAAGGCTCTCCCGACTTGCCGAGTGGGGAACGGATTTCAGCAAGTAACAATCAATGTTGTAAGTGGTTTTCTTGAATGCAAGTAAATACCAGGTCAGTGTTTGAACCTAAATATTTTGAAAAAGTTTGTCTAGGGGTTTCATAAGATTCCACAGATGAGATGTCTTGTAGGTATCCCGCGTGGCTGCCCGTAATTATAGTTGATTTTGTTCAATAGTCTTTTCGTTTTCTCCGTGGAACATCCCTCCTGGAGTTCCTCGACCTATTGGCATTTTAGCGGGCTGTTCAACCTCCGGGAGTTTCAACTGGTATGGAATGGAATGGAAATGTCATCCTATTTAAATAAAGTTTAATTTGTATAAAATACAAAATTCTAGTTTCAAACACGCCGAAACGAGAATTAGAGGTTTCGCTCAATGGCATCTTGCACGTCCGGTCTTCTTGCATGCAAGATTGTTTGGATTGCATTTTTTCGGATTTTTTGTAGAAAATTATTGTAGCGATTTGATATATGTGAGGTAAAAAGGTGATTGAAAAATCTGTTCACGGAAAACGTAACAATTTTTCTTCCAAAAATGACAATCCAAACAGAACACAAGGTTAACGATAAGTCTCTGTGTACATCGGTTAGAATTGAACTTTATTCAAATAAATTTGGTGGGGAAGTTTAGCTTTTTTTAAAAAAAAAAAAATATTTGGGTTTAATCCGAATCAGTAAATCACTTGGTTTACCGAGCTAAAAAGAAGAAAATAAAAGAGATCGAGAGATATACACAGAAATTATCGAAAAGAAGTGCATTAAAGAAGTTCTAAGCATTTTGTTGATTTCAAGAACTGTGAAACTACTATTTTGTAATGGAGTAGTAAGTACTATAAAGAAAGACTGCAGTGAATTTCCATCCACAATCTGCAATAGCTCTCTCTCCAACTCTTAAAAGACGTAGTAGGATCGTTGTGTGTATGCAATTATGCGTCTCTCTAAAAAGCTTTCAACATAGATGGATCGATCACCTAAAATTATGTGATTGTGTACAAAAATGTTTCATTTCGCATCCCCCAACAACCCCACCTCCAGTGCACGTGCAGGGGAGTAGAGACACCTCCTCATTAATTGATACATAATAATTGTCATTAATTTGTACCGCCTAGCATCCCTTTGCACCTTTTAAATGTTTTTTAGCATATTGTCTTTGATTTGTATCATCTTATGTTTCGGACGTTCAAGTGTCAAAAATTGAGACTTCATAGTGTAAAGTGTCTAAAATGAAAATTTAGAACATAAAAGTGATGCAAGTTTGAAAGTGCAAAATGGAATTAGTCCATTTCCTTTTTATGTTCAAATATGTATTGGCAATTTCTTATGCCAAATATTTAAACAACACTAATTATCATAACTAACTAAAAATAATTTGGGTAAGTTTTTTTTCTGTAATTGTTGTATTACTAAAAAATGTTATTTAATAGAAAGACGGAATAATGCCATTTTCTGCAAATAATTACTTTCGTTGAGTGTTAACTAGTGCTTTTGTGGGAAAAATGTGCATGTCAACATATTTAACTTTGGACGGTTTAATTGATTTTATTACATTGGGAAAATTTTTTTAAAGAACTTCACAAAGCAGATTGATCAAATTAAACAATGAAAACTGGCATATTTGGTGGAGGTATTTTGTAAGTAACCCTTAGTTCTATCCACTATTGGATTGTGGTTTTTTGCAGAAAATTTTTTTACGATTTTTGCAAATATATTTTTCAATCACCTTTTTATCTCACATATATTAAATCGCTAAAGTATGTTTTTCTACCAAAAAAAAAAAACTCCTAAAAATAGTAATCCAAATAGGCCCTTAGACATGGAATTGAAATTTGCTAACATACATTTTTTATTATCATTAAAATGTATTCCAGATGTTAGATTTTTATAAATATAAAATTAATTAGAAAAAATATATAAATATAAGGAAATTAATTAGAGAAAATATATAAATGCGAAAGAATAGGTTTGGTGAAATGTAGTTGTGAACATATGTAAAAAAAAAAAAAACTTTTATTGTATTGTATTTGTTCGTGAACATAGACTCTTTTTTTTTTCTGCAAATGTCACTTCGTGAACATAGACTAAATCATCGACTTAAGATGTAGATTTGCAATCGGATGTGGGGATAACAAAAAGTGTTCGAACAGCCCTGACCCAAAGTAGCGAAGGGTAGGACCCAAATAACACTCTACAGTAAGTAGCAACCACAATCATTTGGGCTTCGATTAGGACAAAAAGAGATTAGACTCCGCAGCCTTGGATCCTTTTTGACTCTCCCTAAGTTTGGTAGATCAAGAAAGGGAGCAGGAAAATCATTAATTAATCCATCCTAAGATCTCAAACTAGTGCCTTGAGTCACCTTTCGCTTTAGAGAAGATCCCTTGTTTTCTCAGTCAGTCAGTCTCCATCATATAAAGCGTTGAAAGCACCCAAAATCATATTCTCATGGCCAAAACAAAAGCAAGTACGTACTACTTTATAAGTCTAGCTTCCTAAATCAAAAAACCAGACAATATGGCAATTCTTTCCTACTTTCATTAACGTTCGTTCATTGAGCAATGCGTTAATTCTGCAGAAGCCACCACCAATACCAACGTCGTAATTACCAAGTCCAAATGCAAACTTCTAACAAAACAAACCAACTAATGGGAAAACAAGGAGAAGCCGGAAAAATCCTATATATATATATATATATATATATATCAACGGTAATTTATTAGTATGTCAGACCACCACCAAAATGTGCATCCTGAACAAATGACAAAAAAGGTTTAGTTCCAACTCCAAGTGCGTTGTCCCCTGGCCTAAACAGAGGAGGTAGAGTACCACCAGCATGCACAAGTAGCCGTTATCAACAACGACAATTAATGGGAACATTCTCAGTAAAAAACAAGTCAGATAGATGTTCTGAATCAAACACCCCCTTCCCAACAAAAAAAAAAAATTAACGACAATTTGGTGTTAGAGACAGACTGACCCAAGCATCATCCTTGATCCTACAACAAATAGTACTAAGGAAGGCGGTCGCAACGAAAACATATTGGATATCTTATTAGTCACTCACTAAAAATTAAACAAAGCATAATCAACTTCTTACCCATCAACTCCTATTTATCATCAGAGAAGTACCATATCCCGAAAAATTTACAAAAAATAATAAATATTAGTAGTAGTTTCTCTGCTTATCCACATTTTGCTTTGCTTTTTTTTTTTATTTTTATTTTTCTGCTACTTGTTGAGTACTACCGCTACTCACTACTTTAACCCCAATTAATATACTCATCACAAAAATAAATAAAATGAATCTCCTATTTGCCTTCTTCCACTTCCCCCACACATACAACCCCCTCCCAAACCCAAAAAAAAAAAAAAAAAGAAAATGTGTCACGGCTTGACCAAAAATAGAGAGCCTGCAAAAATTTTGCCCATTGGTGAAATAAACACGAATACGGTCTAATTCCTGGTTTTACCCTTCCACTCAATACACTGATCGGTCGGCCTGGTCTTCTGCTTCCCAGCCTTGAGCGGGCAAGGAGTTTGCAGTGGCGGCACCATGCAATTGTACTGCAGACACAGCGAACTGCTCACCGGAATCTCAGCCCCCGGATTGATGTCGATCCCTGTTAAATAGTTATGCTGCAGATACAGTATCTGTATACCTGCCGATAACAACCGATCCACCAGGCTATTTGGCACCTGACCCATGAACCGGTTATTGTTCAGATACAAATTCTGTACCGTCGCGAGGAGTGGGGATATTTCACCCGATAACCTGTTGTAACTCAGATCAACGGTGGGAATTGTCACCTGATCGACCGGTTCAACCGGACCCGAAAATAAGTTCCTTTGTAATTGGAGGTTGGTGATTGGGAAAGAGAATAAGCGACCTGGAATGCAGCCGGTGAATTGGTTCAAGCTCAGGTCCAAGTAATTCAGCCGATTTAAACCGCTGAGAAGCCTGTCCACCGGACCGCTGAATCGGTTCCACGACAACGAGAGGTATTCAAGGGATGGAGGGAGCGAAGCCGGGGACAAGGACCCCGAAAGATCGTTCTGTTTGAGGTCTAGCCGGGTTAATGTCTGCGAAACAAAAGGAGGGACCGGACCCGAGAGACGGTTGTGGCAGAGAATGACGTTGGACAGCGCCGGCAGTGCTCCCACCGACCAAGGAATGCTTCCGGCCAGCTGATTGAAGCTAAGGTCGAGGGTATGCAGACCTCGGAGCTGACCCAGAGTAGCGGGAATCTGACCGGAGATGAAGTTCCGGCTCACGGCAAGGAACCTGATGTTCTTCAACTGGGATAAGGATTCCGGCAACGGGCCGATGATCCGTCCGGGAACAACGGTGAATTCGGTGAGGGCGGAGAGTTTGCCAATGGCAGGGTCCAGCCTGCCTGTAAGTCCAGGGGAACCAGCTCTAGGGTCGCCGAGATTCAGGGCGATAACATTATCTCCAACGCAATACACTCCGGCGAAGTTGCAGGGATCGGAGGTAAAATCCCAGGAAGCGAAAAAATGGGAACCGGGCAAATCATCCAAGCTCTTCCGAATAGATTGTAAAGCCAGAAAATCAATAGGGTTTAAAATTGCATGGGCTACCAAACAAGAATGGAGGAGAACAAAAATAGCCAACAACAGCAAGGACTGAGCAATCTCTGTCAGCGGGAGCCCCGTCATTGTTACTTCTCAGTGAAAGATGGACAGAGAGATTGCAGCAAGGGTGTTGGGGTTATATAAAGGGGAAAACGGGACCTTTTGGAAATGCTTTTCCGTGAGGAGCAGCGATTTCTCGTGTGGGAAAATGAGGGCCGTGAAAGCTTCGACAGAGACAACATGCAGAGGGGAAGAAAAAAGGAAAGTGTACTAGTAAGTAATATAGAGAAATGAAAGAGTAGCTTCTGAGAAAAGAAAGGGCAGACCGGGAGGGATGCGGCTTTTGATCAGTTGCTTGATTCTTCCGGGACAAGGGAGGAAAAAGAAAATTGAGGAAGTTTGTGTCTGGGTAGCTGTTGGCTTGTGGGAGAAGATGGGTCTGCAGGGGAAAGGGGATTGGGTGTTGTGGGCGAGGGGGTTATGGAGTATGGTGGGAGGCGATTGACCACGGCTACTAACTACTGCAGACTAAGCTGCTAAAATAATAATAATAATATTATTATTATACTATTAATTTTTAATCTTCTACAGTAGTATAGCAGCGTATCTACCCAGTTTTATTTTCCATTAAAATTATATAGATGGCAGGTTTTGTTTGTTTATTGGGAAGAGGTTCGGGAAGCTAAACGGTTGTCCGAGCCTAGGTGGAGCATCTCTGATTGTTTGGGGTGCAGGTTCGGAGAGAGACACGGATCATCGGAGTCCAGCTTTGGGGAAGGGAGGGAGGGTGATTGGGACTTAGGACCACGTGGCCCCAAGGC